CCCATACAAGACCGTGCTGGTTGTTAACCCTTTGGAGTCCGTAACTTTTTGCTTCCGCAGAATTTGTGGCAGTCACGAAAATGCGCACTCCATTTCCAACTTAACTTTGGTTCTACTTCACCGATTTTGAAGATCTTGGGCTCGTTGGAAAGCTCTTGATGAGAGAAATACAATGAGCCCAAACTCGCCAAGAGCACTGTTCACTGTCCGCCACAACGCGCCCCAAACGCGAGTCCAGCTTCAGATCTGAGACGAAATCGGTCTCCTGTAGCCATTTCACTGAATCTACCTCGGAACTGTTCAAATTTTTTTCGAGTAGTAGCTTACCTTGCCGTGACTTCGCGCCGCGCCGGTCCTGGCACGTGCCGCCTGTCATGAAGCTGGGGAAAATCCATTTTTTCACGCACTGGTGACTCGCAGCACGCAGCGCAGAAAATTCGAAATGTTTGATCGCTCGCCGCTCACTCAAACTTCATCACAGAGACTTCGGACCAGTTCGAGGCGATAGCTGAGAGTTTTCTCTACCATCTAGACCCTTCGATTGTCGGATTTGGTCAAGATTTGGCCGAGAACCGAAAGTTTGACTGCGCCCACATGCATACAAAATGCTCATGGTTCGAAATCGAACCATGGACTCCAAAGGGTTAAGGATGATGTACTTGACAGAGCAAGAGACATCTTCGGAGGAACGGGCATTAAAATCACATGTTCGAGGCGATAGCTGAGAGTTTTCTCTACCATCTAGACCCTTCGATTGTCGGATTTGGTCAAGATTTGGCCGAGAACCGAAAGTTTGACTGCGCCCACATGCATACAAAATGCTCATGGTTCGAAATCGAACCATGGACTCCAAAGGGTTAAGGATGATGTACTTGACAGAGCAAGAGACATCTTCGGAGGAACGGGCATTAAAATCACATGTTCTGGAAGCCGGTACCTGGGCGGCGGAGTAGGCATTCTGCCTTGGATATCTGTCGGAGTTGGCAGGGAAATGGGCTGATGAACCGCGGATCCTGGCGGAGATGGCCAAGACTCAGCCTCACGCGGCATACACCGTGTTCACTAGTGATTTATCGAGCAGGTGGAAGTACCATCTCCGCGCGATGGCATGCCCCAGGGACATCATTGCCAGCGTGGATGACTTGCTTAATAATGTCTTGCTGCCGACTCTCCTTGAGCACGATGTCTCGGGTACAGGGTCCTTCCGCGAGCTCTTGGCCATGCCAGTTCGTTTTGGTGGGCTGGCCATTCCCGTTCTTAGCTCCCTGGCGCCACACGAGCACGATGTTTCCATCAGGACCACAGCACCGCTGGTCCGGCTTGTGCTGCCGGATTACGCTGCTCCGACAACTCGAGTACCTGCGCTAGCTGGCGCCAGCACCCCGGACGAATCTCGCTTAGTGACGGCCCCGAGGCGGCAAGCCGGTGATTTCCCCCCTGCTGCAGTGGATTCAAGCGCGCAGCCCTCCGGTGTTGTTGCCGCATTGACAGCAGTCCCGGATTCAGCGATTGTCCCCGTTGAGGCTGATCCGGTCATGGACGCCATTGGCGCAGTGCGCGACCTGCCCGCCAGCTCAGGTCTGTGTAGCTGAGGGAACATGATGATCAGTCCCGGAACCTTCATGGCACCCTGTCACCACAACAGCAATTGCTTCTCGAGACGGCTGGTGAAAAAGGAGTCTCCAGCTGGCTCACGACAACTCCTTCCCTCATGCAAAGAGTAACAATTCTGAACAAAGCCGATTTCCGTGATGCACTGCGCCTGCGATACGGCCTTTCCTTAGATGGTCTCCCCAGTACCTGTGCGTGTGTGGGGGGCTGCCCTCACCACAGATCATGCTTTAGCTTGCCCATGCGGGGGATACCCCATTGCTCGCCATAATGAGATTAGAGATCTCCTGGCAGAGGTAATGCGGGTGGTGGTGAAGGATGTGGAGATCGAGCCGACTCTGCTCCGTATCAAGGAGAGGATCTGCCAGGCCGGTCAGCCAACCGGTCGGCAGGAGCCCGCCTGGATATTCGGGCTCAGGGCTTTTGGTCGAGGCATCAGGATGCTTTCTTTGATGTACGGGTCACTAACCCGAAAGCTTCCCTGCTGTCTCGTTCGGTAGTCCTGAGTCAGCTCCAAGCGCATAAAAAGGCAAAAAAAGAACGTACTGTGACAGAGTGAACAGCGTGGATCGTGGAGCTTTCACTCCTCTCGTTTTCAATACCTCCGGCATGTGCGGTAAAGAGACGACATTGTGTTTGAAGGCACTGGCATCGCAACTGGCGGAGAAGCATAGCGAGCTTGCCTACTCGGTAGTGATGGGTGAGCTTCGGAGCCTCCTGTCATTTACCCTGCTCCGTTGGACCATAACATGCTTCCGCGGGTCCAGGGGGTCGTAGGGCCGTAGGCGAGACCACAGCTTCTTGCACCGCTGCCTGTCCAGGTCAGTGGCCTAGATGGTAATAACCGTGTTTTAATTGTCTGATTGTTTCTTTGTATGCGTTGCTTGCTTACTTGTAGTTTGTCTCCTGCGACCATGTTTCAACATTGTTAGTGCTTACGCATGGTGATTTTGTTGCTGCGTGACCGCCAACTGCCATCTTCTCAGATTTGTGTTGGGTTTCAAGAGGCTTGACTTTATGTCTAAGTATACTGTTTCACAGCTGCCAAACGGTGGAGCTGATGAAAGGAGTAAATCCAGCAGCGTAGCTGAATGGGAGGTCACTCGGGTGGGAGATGTTACATAGTTGGAAAGGTTAAAGCGGGTGATAATAGAGCGCAGAGGTACTGCAGATGGCTGACCCTGCGCAAACTCCACATTGCAGTCGCCGACAATCGTGGTAGACTTTTGCCGGCCTTCCACAGCTCGCTCGATGTTGTGTGCTAGTGATGCCCAGAAGGCAGCTGGGCTGTTAGGTGGCCGGTAGCTGCAACCAATAACATGGGAGTCGTGGCCGGGAAATACAACCTCAAGCCATAGTAGTTCCAGCTCAGTGTCCAGATCGAAGCGGCAACAAACAGCCAGGGACTCGTGGCAGTATACAGCTACTCCACCACCAGGTCGATGTGGTCTGTCCTTGCAAAACAATTTGAAATGTGGTATAGCTACTTCACCATCACTGATGTCCGGCTTCAACCAAGTTCCAAGAAGATGTATAGCTCTGGAGGACACAAACTCCTGGACCTCAGAAACCTTCCTCCGCAGGCTGCACACATTGAGGATAGCAGTGGTCAGAACGGTCATTATGGTTGTGACTGAAATGCAGTTTGTTGACCAGCAGCATGTTCTGGCGGAGAGTCCAGATATTTGTCTGCAATAAACACGCGCTGGTCAACATTTCCGCTGGAGAAGTGTTTTGGAGCTGGCGTGATTAACAACAATTCGAGCTGAGATGCTATCCTCCTTGCGAAAGATCTTGCATGGATAGTGACTGGAATATTCGTAGCTGAAGCTCGCTGCGCTATAAAATGGCTAAGGTGGTCACTTTCCGTGTCATGCCGGAGATTGCCCACGAAAAGGAATGCTTTTTTTCTAGGTTTTGTGTTCGAGATGAGCTGCCATGCCAGATTGTCAGGCTCATCCTCGAAACAAGGCAACAGCTTGCGTTGTTGGACGTCCGCGTTTTGAATCTTCGTCCTCGGATTTGAAGTTCCACATGTCGATTCAAGACCTGCACGAGATCCACGGAATGCACTATGGGATGCGCTGTCGTCCTCCGATCCCGAGTCTGTTGCTGTTGAGCTGGGTTGCTCACTTGCACCAACGGCCATATCGGGTGTGTTTGCTTGCTCGAGTTCCTGAAGATGTGAACTCAAATCCGTACGGGTACTCGCTTTGCTGGCTGCTGTCTGCACGGTCTGTACAGCACGGCTGTTTTTTTTTATGGGATTTCCGCACACTTAACAATATGGCCGCCGAAAATCTCGATTGGGCTTCAATGGCTAGAATATTTGAATTTTCAAATCGTCAGAACACTAGTAGGCCATGGCTTCCCCTGGGTTTTGGAGAATAGTTAGCCCGGATAACCCGGGGAACACGCGGATCATAACCGTCTTGTTTCAAGCTTTCCGCTCGTACCTCACATGTCTGCATTTCCTTCAAGAAACATTTGTTCTGCATCATGCAACTTTGGCTTCGTTCTGGAGTACTCCTTATGTTGTCGCTGACAAACTTGGCTCCGAGAAGCCCTCCCCAATTTTTCCCCAGGCTAGATCGTTTTTTCCCCAGGAAGAGGACCATCCTCTGGTTGTCTTCCTCGAGTGTCATTACTAAGTCTGACTAAGATTGGACAGGGGCGCAGTCGTCAGAAGCGGTATCTGTGCCTTTTTACATGTTTGCAGTCACGGGCTCGCATCTCGTCGTAGCTATTTTTTAGTTCAGACCTTGACAGATCAGGACAATGGCACCCAGGAGCAAGACGAATGGAAAATGAATAGCAATAGCAGCTAGCGTATCGAAGCTTCGCCATGATGTCAAAACTCCATGGCTACCTGCAGTGGCCATGATCTTCCTTAGCAGATGGATGGTCATTCATAGCTGCCTACATACAACTGTATCTGATACTAGGCTGCTCTTTGTTCTGCACGGGTTTCGGAACAGGATAGATGAAGAACCACACTTCCGCTTACATTGGTTGCGACGACCCCGTAAGCGGCATCCGATACCGGTCATAAAGGGTGGGGAAGGGTACCTCAGATCAACCTACGAGTTGCCACTAGGCATTGGCGGATAATCCTCGAAAAGGTGGCAGATTCTCCTCGAAAAGCAGTGAAATTGGTAGAACCATACAAACCTTATGGTGGGCAATTTCTCGAATTCTGATCCATTTCTTTATTCACATACAAACATGCATGAAACTTACCAGAAAAAGTACCGAATTCTGCCAATTTTTCTGCCTGCATTATCCGCAAATACCTAGATGTCACATCCCGAAATCCCATTTGCCACATCTCAAAAGAACAGAACTAGGAAAAAAACGCCTTTTTACGGTACATGCACAACATGACTTACAGCTCTTCTAATTTGGTTGTCGCCTTGAACAGCCCGGCAGGTAGGTGATCAATTCGATTATTGGACAAATCCCTGAGATAACAAAAGTAGAATTTTGCTAGGGTGTATAATCCTGGAAGAATTTCTTATTACTCTATTGTGCATACTAGTTTGTAGGTGGAGTGTGTGGATTGCTGTGAGGGCTGCGTCCCACCCGCCTGTGTAGATTCACACAAAGTGTGAGTTACGAAGTCTGAAGAAAATGTTGAACAGTTTCTGCTGGGTTGACGGCTACACCATAGCTCAGTGGTTACAGCATCGCTGCCGCGGGCTACAAGCGAGGGTCCCTGGTTCGAGTGCTGATGGTGTCAGTCTATTTTTTCTTCAGACTGTTCCCGTTTGTGTCTTACCCGCGAATTAGTGAACTCTATATAAGCAACTCGGATGGTGAGCCAATTAACTTGTCAGTTTTGTGCCATTTTGTCGTACTTGCTGACTGTGTAAGATCTGGTTACGTTGGTGGACAGTTAGTCATAACTCGTAACCTTTTGTCCTTCTTCTTTTCTATAATATAAGCAGTAAAACAATGAATTATAATTATGTAGAAAGGAAAATAAAATATGGTTATGAGTTAATCAAGAGTAACTTTCCATCACTGTCACATGATACTATAATACAGTCAGAAAGTGCAATAACTAGGCACAAAACTGACAGAGTAGTTTTGTGCCTAGTTATTGCACTTTCTGACTGTGTAATTATAGTGTCCAGTTACAGTGATAGGGAGTTACTCTTAGCTCGTATCCATATTTCCTTTTCCTTTCTACATTTATTTAAGGCTCAACATCCGAGTTACAATAAAATTATAATTATGTTTAGTTCTACTCGGATGATGAGCCAATTTAATTATGGTAAAAGAGGAAAAGGACAACATTTTACGAGTTATGACTAGGGACCATTAGCAAGCCGTGAAACGGCAACGCGAAGGGGGAGCTGGGTTAGAGACTAGTCGTGACCACACGAAACATTTTCGTGTCTGACGAGTTCGGATGAGTCTACTCGTCATGACCGCTACGAGTGGGTTTTGAGCGATCTTTCTCAAATTTCGAAAATGTCTCACCCATTCTTGTCGGAATAAATATGAACCTGATACGGAGAATAGCACCGTAAATCGCGCCTCTTTTTCTCTTTCGCGATTTTTCTCAAACTTCATAACGCAGAAAAGGATCGAGGATAACCACAGTGCCAACAATTAAACTTGTTCACACTTGCTCGCTCCTTTTTGTCTACTGCTCCAAAACGTACACTTTTTAATATTCTCAACTGACTGGCTCCATTGTAAAGTCATTCGGAGAATGTTTTGGCATGGACCTCGTGAACATAACTTTTTACTGCAACCAACCACCGGCGCCATGATGTGGCTGTCATGGGGTTTCTTTCAGTCGCATTTGGGTAAAAGTCAATTAGGCTGAGAATTGTTCTCAAGGAAAAGTTCGCAAAACCCGTTGCCAGTATAAAACATCAGAAAACTGTTAGAAACTGGAAAGCAGCCGACTTGTGTGGGCGGTTTATGAACGCGAACTAAAAACATTTGCTCACCATCACTATTATCAGATCAAATTGCTAAGCTAGAGGATATTCTGTGTTCTAACTGTTACCCACTCAAAGTACTCAAGCGAGTCATTACAAGCGTTCTCGAAACTAGCCCAGATAAAGATTCTGTACAACTTGAATCTGCAAAGCGTATTATCACACAATTGCCCTGGAAAGGGCAAAATTGCATTGCCTACCGCAAAAAATTTAAGCTGCAATTTTGAACTCCTATCCTACAGCCATTGTAATTTATACAACCAGGCCCGCATTCAGAGCTCACTGACTTTGTTAGTTTGAGCACTCTGGCAAGGTACGTTCGGGCCTGATTGGAAATTTTTATTTCCATTGCTATCAGGTTCGGCCTCATTTCCTCTGTGCTGCGCTGATGAGTTCACAAAGAACGAAACAGCATGCTGTCCGCAGATTGAATATATGTATATGAAGATTGAGTATATATATATACACACAACAACAAGGTTGTCAATTTCATAATACTAAAAGCTTTTCACCCATTTTCATCAGTAGTTACATGGGAATGAGCAAGAACGAAAACGAAGCCAGAATTTATACGGGGGGTAGAGAATCAGCAAGAATATTCTTACGCGCCTCAAGTTCACACTACACTACCATAAGAATGTATGGAGCAGTGGAAAAATGCGGGAAACAACACATGAGGGGAATGCAGTACCAGAACAAACACGTGATAAAGTTGTCAGTCCGGTTGCAGCTTGAACAGCCGTAGCACCTTGATGTGCTTCTTTTGTCGACACAGCTCTGGCCTCAAACTGTGAATGTACAGCGCCTCCAGTGTGAATCTGTGCGCGCTGTTCCGGGCTGGTGTGATGACACTGAAGCTGCTGTTGCGTTCCTGCGGGATGCATTCAGGTTGCGCCTGCAAATGCTTTGTGATGGCGCTATCACTTGTTGCCACACGTTTGTCAGGCGGCTTCTTGTACAGCGTGTCTGGGATATGCTGCTTGATCCTTTCCGAGAATCGCTGACATGTCTCACCAACGTACGTCCGCTCACAGCGACACGCATACTTATAAATAAGATTACTATTTTCAAGAGTTGGTGAAACATCCTTCGCGATAGATCTGAATGCGGGTCTGGTTGTATAAATTACAATGGGGGATACTGTAGGATAACAGTTCAAATTTGCAGCTTTAATCTTTTTGCGGAAGGCAATGCAATTTTGCCCTTTCCACGGCAAAGGCAAAATTGCATTGCCTTCCGCAAAAGATTAAAGCTGCAATTTTGAACTGCTATCCTACAGTATCCCCCATTGTAATTTATACAACCAGACCCGCATTCAGGTCTATCGCGAAGGATGTTTCACCAACTCTTGAAAATAGTAATTTTATTTATAAGTATGCGTGTCGCTGTGAGCGGACGTACGTTGGTGAGACATGTCAGCGATTCTGGGAAAGGATCAAGCAGCATATCCCAGACAAGCTGTACAAGAAGCCGCCTGACAAACGTGTGGCAACAAGTGATAGCGCCATCACAAAGCATTTGCAGGCGCAACCTGAATGCATCCCGCAGGAACGCAACAGCAGCTTCAGTGTCATCACACCAGCCCGGAACAGCGCGCACAGATTCACACTGGAGGCGCTGTACATTCGCAGTTTGAGGCCAGAGCTGTGTCGACAAAAGAAGCACATCAAGGTGCTACGGTTGTTCAAGCTGCAACCGGACTGACAACTTTATCACGTGTTTGTTATGGTACTGCATTCCCCTCATGTGTTGTTTCCCGCATTTTTCCACTGCTGCATACATTCTTATGGTAGTGTACTGTGAACTTGAGGCGCGTAAGAATATTCTTGCTGATTCTCTACCCCAAGTATAAATTCGGGCTAAGTTTTCGTTCTTGCTCATTCCCATGTAACTACTGATGAAAATGGGTGAAAAGCTTTTAGTATTATGAAATTGACAACCTTGTTGTTGTGTGTATATAAATTTTGTTCGCCTACGTCTCTATTTAAATCTATATATATATATATATATATATACTCAATCTGCGGACAGAACTGTTTCGTCCTTTGTGGACTCGTCAGCGCAGCACAGAGGAAATGAGGCCGAACCTGATAGCAATGGAAATAAAAATTTCCAATCAGGCCCGAACGTACCTTGCCAGAGTGCTCAAACTGACAAGTCAGTGAGCTCTGCATAAAGCAAACAGCAAAGGCACTACCCCACGCAAGAGTGCTCAACTGCTACAAGAGCAGGAGCGAAATACTCAATCTGCGGACAGAACTGTTTCGTCCTTTGTGGACTCGTCAGCGCAGCACAGAGGAAATGAGGCCGAACCTGATAGCAATGGAAATAAAAATTTCCAATCAGGCCCGAACGTACCTTGCCAGAGTGCTCAAACTGACAAGTCAGTGAGCTCTGCATAAAGCAAACAGCAAAGGCACTACCCCACGCAAGAGTGCTCAACTGCTACAAGAGCAGGAGCGAAATACTCAATCTGCGGACAGAACTGTTTCGTCCTTTGTGGACTCGTCAGCGCAGCACAGAGGAAATGAGGCCGAACCTGATAGCAATGGAAATAAAAATTTCCAATCAGGCCCGAACGTACCTTGCCAGAGTGCTCAAACTGACAAGTCAGTGAGCTCTGCATAAAGCAAACAGCAAAGGCACTACCCCACGCAAGAGTGCTCAACTGCTACAAGAGCAGGAGCGAAATACTCAATCTGCGGACAGAACTGTTTCGTCCTTTGTGGACTCGTCAGCGCAGCACAGAGGAAATGAGGCCGAACCTGATAGCAATGGAAATAAAAATTTCCAATCAGGCCCGAACGTACCTTGCCAGAGTGCTCAAACTGACAAGTCAGTGAGCTCTGCATAAAGCAAACAGCAAAGGCACTACCCCACGCAAGAGTGCTCAACTGCTACAAGAGCAGGAGCGAAATACTCAATCTGCGGACAGAACTGTTTCGTCCTTTGTGGACGTATATATATATATATACAATGGAAGCGGTCCTCACCAAGAAAACACAATCCGTTGCTACTCCGAGTTTCTTGAGTTTTTCAATCGTCAGGCAACTCCAGTGCACCCAAGCGCAGTTGAGCCCTCTTTGCGGTGGACGGGACCACTTCCCCCTATATATATATATTGGAAATTTTTATTTCCATTGCTATCAGGTTCGGCCTCATTTCCTCTGTGCTGCGCTGATGAGTTCAAAAAGAACGAAACAGCATGCTGTCCGAAGATTGAGTATATATATATATATATATATATAGAACAATAGAAGTATTTCTTGCGTCGGCAAAAAGTGCTCAATGTCCTAAGACAGAGCGGGGTTATACACTCAGACACAAAGGATCTCCAAGTTTCTCAGTGTTGCTACTCTGAGTTTCGTGCAAAAGCACTCTTCAGGCAACTTACTCTTCTCTCACATCAGTATCCCTTTACATACCAGAAAAGACGAAAAGAAGCACCCTAGGTGGGAATCACAGGTGGAGAAAAGAAGCACGCTAGCCAGTCTAGGTGGGAATCA